ATATACACATATACACACATACCCAAACACCCATATGGACACACACCCATACACACACACACTCACCCATACAGCTGTATATATACACACACACTCATACAGCCATACACACACACACCCATACACACACACACACCCATATACACACACACACAGACACACACACACTCACCCGTACAGCTGTATATATACATACACACTCATACAACCGTACACACACATACACACACATACCTATACACATACACACCCATTCAACTATATATACACACACCCATACATATACACCCATACATCTATACACCCCCCCATACAACCATACACACACACACACACACACACACACACACACACACATACACACACACTACCACTCCACCTCTAGGATGCTTCATCTTGCTAAAATGAAGGTCCATCTCCATAATTTCTCCTTCCTCTTCCTCCAGCCTAGGTATCCCCTTCCTGCCCTTGCTGTGTGACACTGACTGCTCCGTGCCCATCCCGCACATGGGGTTTTGCAGCACTGTCTTTTGGGACTGATGGTTTCACTCAGTAGGATGGCTTCTGTGTTCATTCCCATTGTCCCATGCAGCCAAATTTCCTTTGTAAGGCCGAATGGTGTTCCAGCTTACACAGAGACTGTGTTTGGTGTGTCTGCTCATCCACTGATGCTCACCGGCCGGCGGGGGTGGGGTTCCACCTTCTGATCATTGTGAGTTATGTCACTACAGACAGAGGTCTATACTGTTATGTCACTATAGACTACAGCTTTTAATTTTGTTAGACCTGGAAAGTTCCCAAACAGGAAAATCATAAGAACCTTAAAAACAATTTCCAGAAACCTGTTCCTAGCTTCCCATTTGCTTCTCATTCTGTCTGTCTGTAATCTGCCTGTCTGTCTGTAATCTGTCTGTCTGTCTGTAATCTGTCTGTCTGTCTGTCTCTGTCGTGCTTTTCTTCTTTCATTCTGGGGTGCTGAAGATTAAACCCAGGGCTTCATCATGCCAGGCAAGTGCTCTATGCTAATCTCTAGACGCAGCTCTTTCTGGTTTGTGTTTTCTGAGACAGGGTCTTTCTAAGCTTTTCACTATCTTGAATGCACCCTGTAGCTCAGACGGGCCTTGAACGTGTGATCCTCTGGTTTCAGCTCCACAAGTAGCTGGGATGACAGGCGTGTGGCTGTGCCTTCGTCTTCACTGTGTCCGTTTCCTTCTCTCTTCTTTCGCCTCCTCAACACCCACTCCCCTGCACAGATGCGCACAGGTGCACACACATGTGTGAACAGATTGTTTGCTTTGGGTTCATGTATTGAAAGTCATGTGTCTGCCTCTCTTCTTTGCTTGTCATCAGGGGTAAACTCCTTCCTCGTGTACATGGCTTTCAAAGATCGATTCCAGCTGACGGATTCCCAGGTAAGAAAGTCAACTTTTCTGAGTAGGCTCCTGATGTTCTGTTTAGTTTGGTTACAGCTGCTATCTGGGAAAGCATTCTTCTATGTGTGTATAGCTCAATCATAGCTTAATGGGATGTGGATGGCAGGTTTGGGGTTTAATGAAATTGGCCTTTGATGGGGTCTTGCCCTTCCAAACTCTGGCATCAAAATGTAACCTCTACTCAGGATATTGTGTGGCCTAGTGGCAGTGCTGAGAGACTCGGTCACACCTGGTGCAGGCTCCTCTTGAGCCTATTACCAAGCCAGGCCTGCCAGAGCAGTTTGGCTGCTGTTCCTTCCTTACTCCTTGACCAGAAAGATGCAGATTCAGGTCACTGAGCTTATCTTCCTCTTCCTCAGATCTATGAAGTGCTGAGCGTGATCCGGGATATTGGTGCCATAGCGCAAGTCCATGCAGAGAATGGTGACATCATTGCAGAGGTAAGGGACCCTTCCTTTCATGTTTTCTTCATCTCATGGAAAGCAAACTCAAGAACGTAGGACAGCTTTGGAAGCTGAACACCAGCGTGGAAATCCAGAGGGCCTTATGGTCTGGTACTAGGGCTCTTTCAGTGTGCTCCTGCTAGTGTTTGGTAAGGTGTATTTTGGTTCCAGTTATAGAAAGGCCCCTTCTGTTGGCACTGCAGTGTAGCTGTTCTGCATGGAGTTGAGGAACACCCTAATCACACCTAGATATCATCAGATACTGTGCCGTGGGCCAGGAGTGGCTTGGCTTTCAGCTTCCCCAGGGATGCTGAGCATGTGGAAGGGCTCTAGAGCATCTGTCCTGCTCCAATGGGATGGGAATTAGTGTAGTGACCCCTTCCCTTTCTGAGGTCTGGCATGGCACTGGGTATCCAGCAGGGCCCACTGCACTTCTTGCTAGGGAGCTTTTTGCCCAGGTCTCTTGGCGTCAGCCACCTGAAACCCACCTTCTCTGACCACCTGGCTCTCTATACACTTTACAGGAACAGCAGAGGATCCTGGATCTGGGCATCACGGGCCCCGAGGGACACGTGCTGAGCCGGCCAGAGGAGGTGAACATCCGGGACTGGGATGTGTGACTTGGTGTCTCTTAGATTCTGTGCAGGTTCCCTTCTCCTCCACCTCTTTATCTGTTGAAAGTGGGGCTTTTTGGATGCACACTAGTCTTTCAAAGAAACGTGTATGTGTATGTGTGTGTGTGTGTGAGTGCACATCATCATAGTACTGTCAGGCCCCCAAACATAGGATGGAACCACAGAGTTCCTTTAGATCTCTAAAACACACATGATGAGTCTTTGCTGAATGCAGCACCACTCAGTAGGGCCTAGTGGACAGAACCATTGAATACTGTAAGCAGGATTAGCCCAGGCTGAGAAGCACAAGGACCGTGGAGCTTGTAAGTCAGAAGGCTGCAGGTATTATGTATTGGGAGTCAGAGTTACCACCACGAGAGTTTTAACCTTACATGCTTTTCAGTGGCTGGTCCTTCAGTAAAGGTAAAGGTCTGTAGAACAGCAGTCTTACAACTCTGAGGGAAGAAGATGATGGAGGAGTTCTGAAAGGAACATTCTAGACTGTAAAGATGTATTACAGGCAAGGGGAGACCCTCAGGAACCTGGGCGGATGGAGGTTCAACATTTAAGGTATCCCTTCCAAAACCAGGTCAGAGGGGATGTTTGGTTAGCAGTCTGTGAAGGAGGTGGAGCCAGCGCATCCCAGAGCTTGGCAGGACAAAGCATGGAAACAGGAAGGATGCCCACGTGTCTATCAGGAGATAGCTATCAGGAAGCCACTGTTCTGGTTGACCCTTAAGCAGAAAGAGTACATCCATTTGTATGTAGCTCAGCATAGGGGCCTTCTCTTTGGCCATTGCCTCACAGAATTAGAGTGCTGAGTGACCAGTTATGAACATCCCGAGGCTCAGAGAGGCTTAGGAACATACCATGATGTGAGAAGGCTTTTCAGACAATTTGGAGGAGCCTAACTTATGCCAGGCACTGAATTTGATAATGCTGTAGGTAGTTTTATCCTATGTCAGTCCTGTGGATGGGAGGGATGAAGGGAGAGAGAGAAGATAGGAGGGAAAGAGGAAGGGAGGGAGAGAAGGAAGGAGGGAGGCAAGCAGGCAGGAAGAATAGTTTGGACTCCAGGGCCTTCACCCTTTCTGTTCTTCCGGATGATGGTTGTTTAGTTTGTCAAGCTGAGTCTTTTGTGTGTTAAACTCTTGAGGGGGTGACACAGAGAATCAAACATGGAACGATTCTGAATGGATTTGGCTGTACAGTGCACTTAGAAACCACCCGCACGTAGGAGACATTAAATAACAATTTAACTTTGTATAGTGCCAGGGTCTCGTCCATCAGTCGCTCCACGATGGCCAGCTTGCATTCGAACCTCGTTGGCAGCTCCCTGCCACTCACTGTATGCTGCTCTTTGCAGCCTACCATGTGGGCACCTCAGTAGGACTTCCCCAGGTTTTTAGCTAAGAAGCTGGGAAAAGGGAGACTGGTAAGAAAGTCAGATTCTAGGGATCACCTGTCTGAGGTGGTACAGGGTGATAAGCATGTGTTCTGATCACAGCAGTGCCTGGCCATATGTGGCCATGGGACAAGCAGGGGATAGTTCTCTCTGAGACTTTCAATGAGCTGGTGACAAACAGGCAGACAGGAAGTATATATGTAGGGCAGAATGTGACTGGCTACTAGCAAAAGGCAGCTGTTAGAGCCTGGGGCCGAAGAAGGAAGTAGACATTCAGACCTGTACAGCAAAGCCATCACGGACAGAAGACCTTCCCAGCTGGGCCCCACAGGGTATATGACCAAGGTGCGGGTTGCCAAGGTGGGAGGGGGGCTGCCTAGAGAGTGTCTGGACTCTGCTATGGGTCCTTGGATAGGTCATTTCCCTGTGGTGTTTGCTCTGTTCCATCTATAAAACCACATAGACAATCTCCCAGATGTTCAAGATCTCTATAATGAGAAGAGGTTTTAGTTTTGAGCGATTACACCCTTTCTACAGGACTTACAGACATTTTCATCAGCGCACATACAGCAGTGTCTGTTGTGTAGCGGGGCTGGACTGTTGTGGCTGGACAGTGGAGAGTGAGGCTTAAATACTCTCTTCTTCCAGAGAGCTAGCGTTTTAGTTTGGCTTCTGTCCAATTTCAGGCCACTCCGTGGGGCCAGATGGAGCCTGAATTCCATTCACAGTGTGTATGCAAATCCAGACAGACCCCTGGGACCAGGATTCTTCCTCATGAGTCTTTGTGGCCGCCAGTCCCATGTGGCTTCTTAATTAGAGGCACTGCACACCCCGCTTTACTGAGGACAGGCATGTGGGCTCCCAGACTTTATTTATAGTGTGTCTGTCCTTTTGTGAAGGGCCTGTGCTGGGACATAGGGCTGTTTCTGGCATCCCTGTGAAGTGTTGAGCATCTTGGAGTCCTTTTCATTCACACTTCAGAGACTTCTGAGCTGACAGCCCAGCAGGAGGCTCCAGGGAAGGGAAGGAGGGCAGAGAGCAGGAGGGAGGTTCCCTTCAGCTATCCCTGGAATGGGAAACATTCGAGTGTTTGGTGAGTGTTTTCTGAGAGCCGGTTGCTTTCCTGTAGATTCGTAGACTCTCTTGTCACATAGTTGATGCCCAGAAGCTGAGTGTGAATGAAGGCTAGCCTTCCTCGCTGGGATGGGCACTGAGAGCAGAGACAGACCCCGGCCCTGCTGTGCTCTAGTGGAAACTGGACTAGTCAAGACAACTGTAGGAGTGCAGCTATCTCCTGTCATTTATGATAGCCTGGCTTTTAAAGTTACATTAACGAGATGAAGCCATTTATATGTGGAGCGAGTTTTTCGGGGATGCTGGGAGTGGGGTAGTATGGTAGGTAGAGAAAGACTAAGACATCTCCCTTCTCACCTTCAGGAGTTTACACGACAAGAGTTTTCTTAGGACTTGGCAGTGGCCTTTTGGGATCCAGTTTGAATCGGTTTCATCTGTTGTGATGAACGCACGTCATTGTACATAAGCTGTGCCTCCATAACAAGGCAGCTTTCCTGGTTGTGTATGCAGTAGACATGACGTGGAATCTGAAAGTCCATTCCCCGAGGATCAGATATAAAGAGCCAGATGTTTGATTTGGGTAGTTTCTTCATCTGTGCTGAAGGTCGTACCAGGCTGTGGCTGGCCAGACACACTCTTAGGGGACCATGGTGCAGCCCTACTCCATCCCCGAGCTCCATGAAGCTTGTTTTGTTTTGTGGGTGATGCTGGCTTGGCTCACAAGTATCTGGCTGACTCGGCTCCAGAGTCACGAACATTGAATGTCTTCACTCTGGACCCTGAGAGCACAATGAATATCCACATTGAGATCAGCCAGGGTCTGGGTATTCTCAACTGTGAGCAAGTGACATTGTTACCAGAGTATGGGGCAAAGACGGCCCTGGCAGCCCTAACAAGCTTGGTTTGACCATCCACAGGCTCATTAGAAAAACAAGCAGCGGGGAACAGCAGAGAAAGGCGATTGGTTCAGTGTAGTTAGAGTAGGAAAGAGGAACAGAGAGAGATCCAGCTGCTTCCTAAGCCCATCCTCAGAGTCCCGACATAAAGTTTAGGTTTAACTAATAGGCTGCTGGTCATGGTGGTACACTCGGTAGGCTACGATGAAGAAATGGGGAAGCATGATCAGGAGTCCCTGGCCAGCCTGGAACTTTCATGGCTTGGAGATATGGCTCAGTAGCTAAGAGTGCAGGAGAGTTCACAATGCTCTTGCAAAGGACCCAGGTTTGGTTCTCAGAATCTCCGTCAAGCAGCTCACAACTGCTTGTACCTCCAGCTCTGGAAATAGTCAGTGCCTCTGCTCTCTGCTCTCCACGGGCACCAGCACGCATGTGCACAGCCCCACCCACAGACAGACACATAGTTCAAAAGAACACAATAACAAGAGCTTTTTAGATAGAAGGCACGAAGCATGCTTAGTCAAACAGTCCACATCACGGTGTGGTCCCTCCCACCCGTCACTGCCTTGGCCTCTGCTGTCCTGGAAGGTGTTCTGTGTACTCAGGACTGTGTGAACTGTCTTTCCTGGAGACACGTTTCTCCTCTGGCAGGCACCCAGCTTCAGGCTTTTCCTTCTCCCACTGTGAAATTTCTCCTCAGAAAACTCTAATTTCGTAGAGGCCATTGTTTGAGTACTTTGATAACTAAAGGGAGTGACATAAGTTATCTTCAGAATATCTTGTTTCCTGCCAGTATTCACCCAGGGTGGTTACAACCCACTTGGCTAGGTTCTAGTGCAGTTACTAGGTGGAGCCTGCGGATCTTTGTCCTGGGTGCCACTTAGGAAAGAGCCTTGGGAATCCATCTGTCTCTGTTGGTGAATAATATGAAGGTGGACGGGGCTTTCATGCTTGTCTCCCCACCCATAGGTCGAGGCTGAAGCTGTGAACCGGTCCATCACCATTGCCAATCAGACCAACTGCCCCCTGTATGTCACCAAAGTGATGAGCAAGAGTGCGGCTGAAGTCCTCGCTCAGGCACGGAAGAAGGGTGAGCCTGGAGGGCTGTTTGGACATACGGTGGGCAGGTGGAGGGAAGGCGGCGCCTCCCGGAGGAGGCTCTTTTTCCGACCCTCGTGCCAACTGGGCCACTTTGATCATGTTCCAGCATTAACCTAATTGCAGCCCAGCAGAGCGGACAGCTCTAGTTTCCTCCCTTTGTTCCGTGGCCGTGGCCTTGATCGTATCTATTTAAAGCCAAGGGCACGTGGGCAGGTATCCTCCTCTCTCTATATGTTGATTTTTACAAACTAGTTACACGCATAGGTTACATCACTTTTCACTGGTGACAGAACCCCTCTGGGGAATGCTATTGTGCAAAGTGTGTCTTCCTTTCTTGCGGGGATTTCTACCGGGAATCAGTCAGAGGTTTGTGTGGGACACATATGTTTATTCACCTCAAATTACTCGTTGCCGGTATATTGTGGCTGTATACCGAATGAGGCTGGTTCTCCCAAGACAGGTCTTGGAAACGAATTCACTAAGTGTAGCTTCCAGCACTTTCCCTCAGGGATGTTCTGTGGAGCATCTTATTCATTATGCAAAGCAGCTCCTTTGCCACCTGCTGCCCTACACCGGTTTGGCTGATCTCGCACTGCATACTTTGTGCTTAGGCAGCAGCACAGCGTATAGAGCTGGAAACCATAGCACTGACTTTGATGGGAACCTTAGCCCGATCTGAAGTGAGCCCTGCAAATGGGTCCCTTCTTGTCTCCACAACCTGCGTATGTATCTTTCCATCTCCTGTGTCTCCATTTCTCTACTTTTCTCCCATGCTCACTCTCTGCCTCTACCCTCTGCCCTCTGCCCTCTGCCTCCTGCCCCCTGCCTCCTGTCCCCTGTCCCCTGCCCCCTGGCCCCTGGCCCCTGCCCTCTGCCCTCTGGCCTCTGCCCTCTGGCCTCTGGCCTCTGGCCTCTGGCCTCTGGCCCCTGCCCTCTGCCCTCTGGCCCCTGCCCTCTGCCCTCTGGCCTCTGCCCTCTGCCCTCTGGCCTCTGCCCTCTGCCCTCTGCCCTCTGGCCTCTGCCCTCTGCCCTCTGGCCTCTGGGCTCTGCCTCTGCCTCTACCATTTGGCCCATATAGTTGTTTCTACTTCACTGCATGATCCTCACGAATCAATAAGGGCTGTGGGATGTTTCACTGGTGGGTGACTTGGTACAAGCTCCAGAAGAAATTGCTTGATGAGTACCCAGTCAGCCCGTCCCAAGAAGCAGTGGCTTCCAGACCTATCCTGTAACTTCTGGCCCCTGCTCTTTGGAGCTTTCTGGAGCTCGATTTGACTACTTGCTATCAATTTTTGAGAGTCTGCCCTCTCCTGGATGCTTGAAGAAACTGCTTTTAATTTAGTAATAGTAGCAGTAGCAGTAGCAGCAGCCGCATTTTGATTTTTTGAGACATGGTCTCATGTAGCCCAGGCTGGCCTAGAATTCACTGTGTGGCTCACCATGGAGCTTCTGACTCCCCCTGCCTCCACCTCCTGGGTGCTGGGAGCACAGATGTGTACCACCAGGCCCTATTGAGAAAGGCATCCAGAATTTCTTCAGAATTTGCTTTGCGTTATTTTCTGAGGAGACTCTGTAGGTGGTGACTGAAGTCTGTGGTCCTTTATCATCCAGGCACACTTGTAAGGTGGCTGGGTGTTCAGCTTCAGCACTGAACACCTTTGCTGGTACTACTGTTTCAATGTAGCACGGGCATAGTGGGTTCAGTGTCTGAAAATGGGGACCATGGCGGCAGCTGGTTTTGTATATTTTACTGGTCATTCAGCACACACATGATAATAAGGAGTTAGTTAAGGTAAATAGTCACATGATTTTGGATTCCTGTGGCTTTCCTGGTCCAAAGTGTAAAATATCCTAGGCTTACCTTGGCAGAGGGAGGGCGTCAGCCCTTGACAGATCACAGCTGACGTGGAATCGTGAGCAGCTCTCCAGCAGCACCTGTGCTCTCCCAAGCCTCTGCTCATCCCTGAAGGGTGGGGCTAACACATGCTTATGTGGCATACAGTTTCACTCGGGCATGCTGCCTCAGGGACTGGAGCCTTTTTGTTGTTTCTGTTGACTTTTGAGTCTGCCCAGAAAGCAAAGCAGTTCAGTTGGTTCTGTTCCAGAACCTTCCGTGCATGAATCCAGCTGTGCCCACACCATGCTTCTCAGGGTTGCTCTGCAATCCTTCAAAGTCATTGGGGAATTCCACTGACTTCCAGTGCTAACAAGAGCAGCAGAAGGCTGTGGCCCTCTAGAGAGCTGGGGAGGCTCTTGCTACCCAGTTGGGATTTCCAAACATCCTCAGGATTCAGCCTGGCCACAGCCTGCATCTTTTGTTTTCCTCTGAAGCTCAGAGCTTGGGAAGAGTAGAGCTAAGTTTGATGATTTGGCATCTAACTTCAGGCTCCAAAGCTCCATGTTAATGTTTGACCAACTCACCTTTCCTCTTGGAGGTTATTTTAGTAGAGGAAATTCTTGTGGTCTGTATGGGTTAGGACTTAGTTCAGGTAGAATCTGGAGCCTGACCCTCAGCATAGGCCCAGGTAATAAGAAACAAGTTTTCTCAAACAATCAAGAGGGAAACAGTAGCAGGCTGTATTAGGGTTCGTTCCCTGGGATTAATAACACGGTTCAGGATCAGACTCTATCTATGGGGCTTTGGCCATGTGACTTACCATCACTAATCTGTGTCCCACTTACAAAGGGAAGGTAGCGGTAGTTACTCTTCTCACAGAGGGACGCTTGCGTTTAAACGAGATGATGTGTCCGGTAACCAGTCATCCTTGCCACTGAGGGATGAAAAGTGATGGTTTAACCTGGAGTGTGTTCAGTATGCCAAGCCAAGGCAAAGATGTCCAATGTGTTTTTCCTGTGTGATGTTTCAGGCCTTGGTGCCAGGAGCAAAAGGTGATCTTGACCTCCAGCATCTGCCCTTGGAGAGAGGATGAGGCGGAAACAGAAAGTGACAGGGGAGTGGTCAGTGCCATTGTGGCCAAGCAGGAGTTGAGTACAGAATAGAGAGCCTGTGAGGTTCACACAGTGGGAAGGACTCAGAACAACCGTTATAATCTTAGTAAACATTGACAGACCCTTCTCTCATGTGCATTAAATCTCCTTACCTACCCACAGACTCTCTGGTTCTGTGTCCAAGGTGGGAGACATCAGGGCAGATAGAGAAATGGGTTGGGTATAAAACTGTGGGCTGAGATGCCTGTGAGGACTATAGCCACATGTCAGCTAGACCCAGCACAATGGCAGCCTGTCTTTTCTAAGTGACCCATGACTACCATTGTTCTGTGCCATGCGACAACACACCACTTTACTAACCTCACTGCAGAGAAACAAAGCACAGCCAAGACTGGAATACACTAGCCAGATTTTAATTTTTTTCTGGACTTTCTTATTTTCTCTTTTATTTTTATGCATTACTGGGGTTTGAACCTAGGGCCTTGCATGTGCTAGACAAGTGTTCTTTCACTGCACTCTAGCCTGGTACCTCATCTTATTTTATATTTTGGGACAAGGTCTCTGTGATGCCCAGGCTGGCCATGAACTTGTGATTCTCCTGCCTCAATTAATATTAATACTGAATATTTAGGATTACAGGCCTATGCCATCAAGTCCTGGCTTGGGTTTTAGTCTTAAGAAGAATTTAGACAGTGGTTGATTTGGTAAGCTCATGCCACAGAAGAGAAATTAAAATGCAGAAACTGAACATGTTGTTCCCAATCATCTGGCTTGTGGGAAGAAACAGGCATGATTCCAGACACCTGCTATCTGTTTGTCCTGTGTGTCCAGGGTGGGAACTTCTCCCTCCACCCTTTCTTAGACTGCCTTTTGTTCATGAAAGGAAACCTGTGTGGCTACAGATGCCTTCCTGAGGGAATGCTAACCTATGGGCAGTACCTGCTGATGTCACTCATGGACTCTCCTTTTCCACCCTTAAAACCAAGGGACAGCCATATTCAAAAAGTCATGGCTGCTGAAGGGCACTAAATCCAAATCCAGGATAAGACTTCTGTTGACCTACAGGTCAATAGGATGTTGAACATCATGAAAATGTCATGGTCATGTCATATATGAAGGTTACTTCACCATGGGTTAAACTGATTTAACAGACTTGAGATTGAGGGTGACAGGTGGGTTGGACTGTGAATGTTATAAACTCCCAGCAGAGCTCATTAGTCAGAGAAACAGCCCACTGAAGGATGAGGAGGGGGCAGGCAGACAGAGGCGGATGGATTTATTTCAAGGCATGGGTTCATGTGGTAATGCTGCTGGAGTATATCTTTAGGGAAGTTGTCAGGCTGGAGACTAGGTGAGAGACAATGGTGCCACTCACATCTGAAGGCTGTGTGGAGACAGAAGCACTTCCTAGTCACTGCCTCCATTTGAATAAAATGTGCCCCAGAGGCTGGGAATTCAGATTGCATTGTAATTCATCTCGGTAGGATAAGATCCTGGGTTTTATTTTCAGCCACCTGAGCTCTGCATCTGTAACACATTCAGATGCTCTTTCAGAGCAGAGAGAAGACTGGTGCCTGAGCTGGGAATGTGAGTCCCCAAATTCATTCTTTCCAACCATTTTGTCTAGCACTATTAAAGACAAACAACCAGTGTCATTCTGTCTGCTAATTTGATTTTTAGGAATGGTCTATGGTGTCAAATACAACACCCAGAGCCTTGCCTCATAGAAGTGTATGATTCAGGGCTTTCAGTGGCATTTTGTGTGTTTCATCACAGGATTGTGGAGTAGATGACATATGTTTTCTTTACTATAAGAAGAGTCGTTAGTACTCATGAATTACCTCACACTAGAGAACCAATTCTAGCAACTTCAGAAAACATATCCTGAAGATTTTGTTTCTTATCCCATGATATGGTATGTGCCTATGATCCCAACACAGGGATAGAGATTCATATCATGAGAAGTCTGATCATAAGACTATGAGGCATAATTCTAAGTTAAAAGAGACATACAAGTAGGATTGTTAGTTTAAGGCCAGGCTGGGCTACATATTAGCATAATCCCGATTAAACAAATAAAACAAAACAAAAACCAAACAAAAACAGGGCTAGGGAGATAGAGTTGGCAAACAAGCACAGGGACCTGGATTTGTCTCCCAGAATCCACGTAAAGAAAGTTGTGTGTGGTGGTGCATGCCTATAATCCAAGTGTTGGGGAGGCAGATCTCTGGGCTCACTGGCCAGCCAGTCTAGCCTACTTTGAGAGATCCAAGCTAATAAGGTACACTGTCTTCTATATGTGCAACTCTCTACCCCATGTGCATACACACGCATGCAGGCATGCTAATCCATACACGCACACATATACACAGGCTCATACACACACTCATACACACATGCATACACACATGCTCAGTTTGTTGCTATAGAATGGAACTATCCTTGCTATCAAGGCCCCACTGCATAGATCTTAGGTGGTTGGAGTTGTGGCCTGAGCAACTTTAAGAGAAAGACACAGTGATGTGGGTCTGTCTGTCTCATTTCCCTGGGCTTCTGTGGCTGTGCACTGAGTTCCTTTCATGGGATTTTTCAATGTTCTTGCTTGGGATTGGTCCTGCTTCTCGTTCATGGGAAATGACAGAGTGTCGGAGCCTGAACCTGTCAAACATTTCCAAACCCCAGCTTGCAGTTATTCTTCATGAATGTGCTCAGGGGCTGGTTGTGAGTAAACATTATCCTCCCATTCCTGCTCGTCCCCTGCATTCTTGGCCTGACTAGTGTGCCTGACAGAGTCTGGCTTGGGGTCACATCCTTCAGTGTAGACTTTCCCTGGAGAAGAGACTCATGAAACTACCAGAGCTGCCAAGAAAGCATCAGCAGTGTGTTTAGAGAAGCATAAAAAGGCCAATTAAGCTGGTCTTGGTTTATTATTATCAGTGGTAATGATTGCTGGCCCCCAGCAGCTCACTGGTGTCTGTGGTCTGACTGAACTCTGCAAGCCAGTCCATGGCCCCCTCCAGCACAGGATTTATAGGAAGAGGAGTCTATGGCAAGGTGCTGAGCCACTGAAATGAGGGTGTGTGTGCGTGTGTGTGTGTGTGCATGTGTGTGTGTAAGTATGTTGGAGGTATAAAGACCAGTGTCTGAACCACACTCCCCCGAAAGTGGAGGCCTTGGACACGATGGGTCCTTTCCTAATTTATGGAGCTAAAAAAAAAATAGAAATGAAAGCTTGTAAGGACCTCTGACTCCCTCAGGAGGTTTGATTAGAGCAAAGCAGGAGCTGGAGACATTGCTCAGCAGTTAAGAATTCTTGCTTTTGCAGAAGACCAGACAGAGTTCAGTTCCTAGCACCCACATTGGATTCCTCTCAACCACTTGTAACTCTTTGGGGATCTAACATTCTCTTCTAGCCTCTGCTGGCTACTCACGCTCATGACTCCATATTCCATATTCATGTACACACACACACACACACACACACACACACACACACACACACACTCTTCCCAGGTCTCTGCATGACTCTAGCTTGAGTCGTTCAGGAGTCCTCACTCTTCAGTGGTCTAAGGAAGGAAGGTCCCCAGTGATCTTGAAACCTGTGACCCATCCTGGGGTTTCCACAGGCTGAAGGCTTTTTCTACAGTACCGGAGGGCAGGGAACCCAGCCTTTGTCAAGCAGCGCCCCTCTCACTCTGGTCTTAGATGAAGCCCATCTGTTTCTAGTACCAGCCTCCCCCAGTCAGATTTCCAAAGCCAAGATGGAGCTGCAGACTCAGTAACGGGATGGAGGATGGCAAATTCCAGGGCATTCTGGGAATGCAGATTTTCCAGATAGCTGAGCTAGTGATTTCTCCTCTGAATACCACTGCTCTTCTGAATTTTTTATGGTGACAAAGTCTGTATACCCTGGGGGCTGCAGGTACCATGTGCTCAGGTGGGCAGTGGGCAGTGGGCAGCAGGACTCTCAGGCCAGGCTGGATTGGGAGTTAGATTTCACCAGATCTGTTGGAAGTTCCTGCAAGAGCCACTGCTGCCCCCGCTTGTTGCTGCATCTCAGATGGGCCTGAGGAACCGCTAACAGCTGGTCTTAGCTTTATGAGGTCTTTTTCCATTTGGGGGTATGTGCCCAGTGTGCTTGTACAAGCGTCTACTGGGAGAGCTTCCAGTAGGTCAGGAGTGTTGGGTTCCTCTTCTGGCACTTTCTTTTAGGGGTTTCCTTCTGGGCATGCTTGCCCCCAGGTCTAGAAGCCTTCCTCCTGCCTGGAGACAGTTACGGAGTATGGGTGGGAGGCAGCTGGGGCTGTGGCTTTCCAATACCTTCTCACTGAACAGCCACTTCTTTGTGACATTCCTGAGGCAGGAGGGGGCAGCTCCCTGGAGCCAGTTTTGAGTGTCTGGGCAAAGAGGGTGTTGTGGAATAGTATCCAGTGATAAGCCTTTGCAAGGACTGCGGAAGGGAGACACATTCCTGACTGAGAAGGGTTTGGCCTTGAGGGCCCTGGGAGAAGAGAGAAACTTGGCTGGGTGAGGGGGAGGAGAGGCAGATGGATTTGGATAACTTGAAAGTTCCAGCTCTCTGGTCTTTAATTAGTTGAATGTTAAGCGCACTGAGTGGGCTTCACACAAACATGTTCATTAAGTCCCTACTGTGTGCAGGTAGAAAAGTATTCATAAGCGTGTTGTGAAAAAACTGGTTATTGTGTTGCCATCAAGAGTCAAAAAGTTCAAAAGCGGGTGATCGTTTGGGTGTAGAATGCAATGCCCAGGGATGCCGGGATGTCTAGGCCATTAAAGAGGAGGCTGAAAGGCCAGGCCTAGTGGCACACTTCTGTAATCTCAGTTCTCTGGACTCAGGGGAGAAGGACAAGAAGTTCAAGGTCATCCTCTGCTACATACATAGTGGGTTCAAGGCCAGCCTCAGCTAGGTAAAAAATAAAAGCTTAGGTTTGAATCATGAGAGATATTGGTGTTCAGGGAATGGATAGATTTTGTTTGTTTTGAACATGGAAGACATGACATAAGAGGCTCGTAGATGTAGGGTGTGAAGGAGATGGATATGTAGAGGGGGTTCTGTGAAGAACGCTCCACTGTGTCACAGAGTGTGGCTGCGGAGCTGAGAAACAAACACACACCTAAAATCTGCTGGAATAAGCTGGGAGGAGGGTGGCGGCCTGGTCAAGTGAAGGAGGAAGACATTTAAGGCACACAAGGACCGACATCCACCAGTGTAAGGGGCCCGGCTGTCTGGCCCACTCTGAATGGACAGAGAAGACAGCATTTGGACTTCAGAGGAGCTGACATTTTCTCTTGGACATTGTATAGAGTTATCCTGAGCTTCTGGAGATTCTGAAACTCCAGTGGTCTAACCGTAGATTCTCATGAAGTCAGCTGTCACTCCAACAGGTGCCATTGAGGGCAACTTAGGTGTGTGGGCATCTCCAGAAGATCCTGGCACTGTTCTCTGATATCTCAGCTCTGTGATTTTATTTGTGATTTCTGTTCCATATCTAGAATTAGACATGATAAAGGGCAGGGGCTTCAGGTATGAGCAGGGAGGCCAACTTCTGCATAGGAAGGTTAAATCCACTCATCATCCAAAGCGGAAGGTTCTGGATGGTTCTGAGGCTTGTGTGTTGAAGCAAACTACCTGAGTTGGAGATCATGGCATGTAACGTGTATAGTGTTTAGGATTGCCTCAGGAGAGAGGGTGGAGTCCACAGAGCAGGGCATCTTAGTACTTGCTAGCTGGGTGGCCTTGGATGCCTAGGGTTCTGGACTTTGGTCATCCGTGTTGTCACCTGTGAGGTGAGGCTGTATCCCCAAGAAGAGAGTGCTGAGAGCTATCTACAGTGCCAAGCATGTAATAATGTCTGCTAAGAGTGGTCTCTTGTTCTTAGTGTATCAGACTGAGCCACCTGTGTTCTGTTTCTCAGGAACTGTGGTGTATGGTGAGCCCATCACTGCCAGCCTGGGGACTGATGGCTCTCATTATTGGAGCAAGAACTGGGCCAAGGCTGCGGCCTTCGTCACATCCCCACCCCTGAGCCCCGACCCAACCACTCCGGACTTTCTCAACTCATTGCTGTCCTGGTGAGTACTGTTGACTCGCTCACATCCACACCCTAGATCTCCTAACAGCAAAATGAATCTGTAGGTGACAACATGGTGGCTGGGAACAGGCTTAAAAACAGACCCTTACTGACCATTTCATAGTGACAATAGGGAATCATTCTGTCACTATCTTCGGTGGGACTTCCTGATATAACCCTGGATCATTCTGACCAGCCAGCTGAAGGGTCTGAGTGAGTGCCAATATGATTGGTGACACATCACCTGTCTCACCAGATAGATCGAGGTATGTTGGCCTGCAGGGAAGCCTCATGTCATGTGTTTCCTTCCAGTGGAGACCTCCAGGTCACTGGCAGTGCCCATTGTACCTTCAACACTGCCCAGAAGGCTGTGGGGAAGGACAACTTCACCTTGATTCCCGAGGGCACCAATGGCACGGAGGAGCGGATGTCTGTCATTTGGGATAAAGCTGTGGTAAGGACTGATGGCCTCCTTCGTGACTGGCCCAGGCCTGTCTCTGTCTGTGTGGGTGTGGGGCTATTGCTGGCCAGTTAAGAACATTCTAGAAGCTAGAACTTGGGAGATGGTATTTCTCCTGTATGGAAGTCCAAGATGATTCCTAAAAGGTCATTTCCTTCTAAATATTACACATAAGTCCTGCATCAAGGAGGAAATAGCTTCCTCAGTCCCCTGCTGACCTTCCCAGTCAACAATCCTCAACTGCATTTCCTCGAGAGTGTGTCTGAGGGCTTCCAGGTTTGGTATTTGTACCCACCATGGGCTTCTGCTGGACCTGTTTTGGACAGATACTGATGTGGGGAAGGTGGGGATTGGAAGCTTTTTCCCTTTAATGTTTGAAAAATACAGTACCAGATTATCTGATTCTTAATGAATTCTTTACACTTTGTGAGTGAACAATCACCTGTGTCAGAGGTAAGCTACAGCGGATGTCTTCAGGCTTTGCTGGCACCTGTGTGCACAGCATGTCAGCATGTAGGTGATATTAGCATCTCACACACAGCTTCATAGCCTGTCAAAACAATTCCTAATATAGCACACATCATTTTTATATCCACAGGAGAAACAGAAATTGATTTTCATTGTCTTCCCCCCCCCCCCAGCTGAGACAAGACAAGGTCTCACTATGTGGCCTAAAACTAGCAATGTAGACCAGGCTGGCCTCCAACTCACAGAGTCCACCTTCCTCTGCCTCCCCAGTGCTGGGATGAAAGTTGGGACAACCACACTCAGTAAAAAGCTTGATTTTTTTCCTCCCTTCTGAGATAGGGTTTATCTGTGTAATAGCCCTGGCTGTCCTGGAACTCACTATGTTGACCAGGCTGGCCTCGAACTCACAGAGATCCACCTGCCTCTGCCTTCCCAGGGCTGAGATCAAAGGAGTGTGCCCCCACACCTGTGGAAAAGCTTGTTTTCTCCTAACACCAACAGTCATTTGTCTATAATTCCTTGACTGAAATTTGTGATGTTCCTGATTTTTCTTTTAACTGAGATGAGTATCTGTATAGACATCTCCTCGGGTACATCTTTATATTTGCAGGAGAAGTTTCTGGAAGTAACATTGCCAGGTGGAGGGGAGTCTGTGAATACATATTGTAATGCACAGATTACAACATCTGACATGGTGTATGGCACTCCTTAGCAGGTTTTAGGAGCAGAAGCCCAAAACATTACTGAGTTGGTAAATTTTGTCTTTGTTAATTTTATATTCAATTTCTTTGGCTGCTGATTGGAATGAATTTTTTAATATGCTTTTTGATCATTAAAATTTTTTTCTTCCTCTTAGTGCACACTCATTTCCTTGGTCTCCTATGTTTAGAATGGAAGGATTTCAGGAAATGATTGGCTCATACCTTGAAAAGCCAGATATGGGACTGAGACTTACTGACTAGAAGCCCAGACCTGCTGGGAACTTTGTTGAAAGGGAAATCCCAGGGTGCATTGCATATCAGCATGTGATCCTTTATTGCTGGACCTGTTTTACCTTCAGCTTTCTGACTCCACCTCTGTGTGTGTGTGTGTGTGTGTGTGTGTTTGTACATACATGCTCTGCTCCTCAGGTCACTGGGAAGATGGATGAGAACCAGTTTGTGGCTGTGACCAGCACCAATGCAGCCAAAGTCTTCAATCTTTACCCTCGGAAAGGTCGCATCTCGGTGGGATCTGACGCAGACTTGGTCATCTGGGACCCTGACAGTGTGAAGACCATCTCCGCCAAGACGCACAACAGTGTAAGGCTTGCCTGTCAGGAGTAGACATGTGTGCTGCAGGCGCTGAGAGACAGGGCCAGTCCAGGGATTCAGGAAGGACCTTGACTGGAAAGGAGTAAAGTTTCCCAGGATGTGTTGTTAACTTGCAGCGTCTCAAGGGCCAGACTGACCCTTTCACTTTCTTTATTGAGATCCACAAGACTGAGACTCTTGGCCATGTTTCAGAGGTAATAGCCTCTGTCCTTACACCTTCAGGGTCCCTAGAGCAGAGGTTTTAGCACTTAGATCCTGACCCTTTGGGGGTTGAATGGCCCTTTCTTAGGAGTCACATATCAGAAATCCTGCATTTAATTACAATTCATAACAGTAGCAAAACTTTAATTATGAAGTAGCAATAAAAATAATTTTATGGTTGGGGGTCACCACAACATATTAAAGGGTCACAGCATTAAGAACGTTGAGAGCCACTGGCCCAGAGTGATTTTAGATCCTTAGAAGCTTCTAGAAGTCAGGCACCACTCCATTGTCATGGTTTGAGCAGCATCTTGTGTGGTGTGCTTACTGCAAGGGACCTAGCTAGAGCAGCCAAGTGTCTGCTCCCCAGGCGGCCACTGGGCACCGTCATTTCCTGTCAGTCTTCTCTCAGGAGTGATTGATAGCTATGCTTCTTGTCCTAAAGGAAGTTTGACTTCTCTTTTCATAGAAGAAATAATCCAGGCAGTGAGTGACAGTTTAGGAAGTACAGAATTTGGGGAAGCTCTTGGTCGTAGAGCTTGGGGATGTTAGTATCTGTTAGTCTGTTAGCATCCTGGCATTTCAACTGAGAACCAGGGATTTGGGTGTTCTGCGAGTTTGTCGACTCAGTGAGGGTAAAGCAGGTCTATCGGACACTAGCAGCTCACAATCTAAAATCTTGACACTCTAAAAGCCTGTCTCTTGGACAGAAGGTTTTGGGTGGGGGATGTTGGGCTCAGTACCAGCTTCTTTGGTACCTGTGGGTGCCTTGATGGTGGGGAGACTGCTGGACTCCATATTTATGGCTGGTTTTGCCCTGCTGGTTCAGCATAGCCTTAGTGCCAAGCCTGCTCAAATTGGTATCATTCACCTTGGGCTCCTCGGTGACGTCTTCAGGGCTGACCTTTCTGTGCGTGTGTACATCATTTCATAATCCCACTCTGTTCATCTGACCTTCTCACTACAGGGTCTGCTGTGATTATCCCCAGTGGGACAATAAATAACCGAGAGGTGCAGAGAGCTTAAGTGGCCAGTCTAACGTTACATAGTGATCTTGCGGTTGAGCCAGAATTAGAAGCCTTAATTTTTCAACGTTCTTCCCCGCCAGACTGCATATGCATGTGCGGGGGGTGGGGTGGAGGGGTGGAGAAAGCACTGTCCCTCTTTTGTAGCTCTTTTGTAGTGTACCCCCCACCAAAGGGAATAAAAAGGGATGTCAAGGCTCATCAAAGACACAGGTGACTGGGCTGCCATGTGGCATCAGGACCGCTCTGCCTCGATGGGCAAGAAAGCAGGGAGGAGTGCAGGTTTGGGAAGACAGTCTCTGCTCACATGACATTTTCATCTCACCCTGATATGGGTGGTATCCCATGTGGCCCTGCCAAACACCTCATTGTCTCCCCCTGCTGTCTAGTGTTAAGCATGACTGTGTGACACTGCCCCTCTGGTGAAGGACAAACAAGAGATTCTAGGTTCTGGCTTCAGTGTGGAGAATCTAACTTATCCATAACCCTATTTTTAATCCTCTGTTAGGATTTTCCAGGATTCCAACTTGCTCTGTAATTTTTGGAAACTCATGTGGGTGAAGTGAAAACGTCCATGGTTAGTGCAGCCTCCTACCTCAGCGAGCAATAGGAACGCTGAGATCCCATCTTTGAACATCTTTAAATCACTTAGAGCAGAGGTTCTCAACCTGTGGATCGAGACCCATGGGGTGTGGGGGATGTCAAATGACCCTTTCATATGGTTACGTATCTGGTATCCTACATACAAGATACTTACATTACAATTCATAGCTAGCAAAATTACAGTTATGATGGGGCAACGAAAATAATTTTATGATTGAGAGTCAGCACAGCATGAGTACTGTGTTAAGTGTCACAGACTTAGGAAGGTTGAGAACCACTGACTTAAGAGTCATGATGCTTCTTCCCTCTGTAGTTTAAGGGAGAGAGAACATGGGTCCTAAAGCCTTACCAACAGCTCCTTCCTAAGCCACTAGTCCCGGTTTGTATGTTATCCAAAGCCTTGGGTACCAGGGTCCAGTGCTCATGCAAAGTGCAGGGATCAGCCAGCAGCGGACAGGGGACTGGGTGCTTTTGTGACATGTATCCTTTCATTGGTTAGGCATGTCAGAGAAGTATCTGAGGTCACTCCACTGATGGATGGCAGGCCTGGGATGAAGGGCCCCGAGGTCCAGGCTGTGTCTGGAGACAGATTGTTAGTTAGGAAGTGACAGGGAAGAGGCAGGCTTCACCTTGATCTTAGAGGATGCTCACCCAAGGTCATTTCAGAAGAGACGGATCCTCTCACCAAGGTCTACACACAAAGGTTCTTTTTGTGTCGTTGCTGCTTGTGTCTTGGGAGGGCGGCACCGAGGAAACGTAAGTTCTCAAGCAGGCTTTAAGTGACATGACCCACTGTTATTCAGTGCCCATCTTTTGCCATCTCCAAGACAAATCTGATGGGAAGATACGTGATGAAGGACGACACCTGAGATGAGGTCACTAGTTGGGGACTGGACAAAAAATGCAGAACTGGCATGGCCTTCGTGTGGGATCAGGGAGATGGAGGTCTGTCCTTGGGGAGGTGTGTGAAAGATCCCACCATGTCTCTGCTTCAGTGGATAGCAGTTGGGGAGAAGGGCCCTCCTGAGATGCTGAGCTGGAAAGAAACTGGCGCCCGCACAGGCTTGAGGTTTAAATTCCCACTGCCTGGGCGGGTCCCACAGCCTTGAGCTGAAAAATGCTGTGTGGGATACCTCAGTGGCGGTGCATCCCAGGTACTCTAGGTACTTGGGTGCCCCCTGGATGATCTGGCTCCCTCTGGCTACTGTGCTTATACAGTCAGCTCTGGTCAGTGACAGATGGGAGACAAGATGGCACCCAGCATCTTGGGATCCTTGAGAGGAGCCTCTTGTCAGCAGCCATGTCTCTCCACTTTTGATTACGACAACCCCTGTGGTTCTCTGTGGAGTCTCTGAACCGTGTTGGCAGCAGTCACCGGCACTACCCAGGCAGCGCTACTTTTCCACATGGAATGCCCAGGCACTGTGCCCTTTCTCTGTCCCCTCCAGCTGCTGCATAGAGCAGAGGTGACCTGTGACCCGGGTGTTGGTGTGGCTCTGACCTCTCACAGAACCTCGATGGTAGTGATTCTCAACGTTCCTAATGCTGTGACTCTTTGATACTTTGATACAATCACTCGTGTTGTGACTCCCACAACCCTAAAATTGTTTTGGTTGCTGCTTAACCACTGTAATTTTGCTACTGTTATGAGTCGTAATGTAAACATCTGGGTTTTCTGATGGTCTTAGGTGACCCTTGTGAAAGGGTCATCCTATCCCCAAAGGGGTCCTGACCCACAGGCTGAGAACCACTGCTCTAGCTCCCCCCACCTTGGCTTGAGTTCTTCCAGAAGCACATGCTCTGTGCCACATGTTACCTTCCAGCTGTAGCCATTTGTGCCTGCAGACAGTCATGTGGAAAGAGCCGTAGGCGTTCAGCCTGAGCTGAGCCAGAATTAGGGACAGCACTCTGACTTATGGAGCTTTCTGTGTCAGAAAGCCTCTTGTTTTCTGTTGCTTCCGACTGACAGACAATCACACAGGAAGGCAAACCACCTGTTTCCCGAGAGGGTGTGCCAAATTGCCTGTTTTCACTCTCGGTGACATGAACCCCCAAATAAGGGTGGATCGGTTAGGAAACTAAACCACAACCCTGTCACGGGCTTGTTGTCTTTTACGTGCCACCAGTCCACACAGGATTGGACTACAGGATGCTTAAGTCCGTGAGAAAACTGCCTCATTTCGAAATTTAGTTTGGACCTAGTTCAGAGGCCAGCCTTGGGAATTCAGTCTGTGAAGGGGAAAGTTGGTGGAAACGGGAAGACACCCCACCCCACCCCACCCCATTAATGCTTCTATTTTCCCTTTTTATAGTATTGTGGATTGAATCCAGGGCCCTGTGCATTCTAAGGGTTCAGCCACTAAGTTCTACTATCGGGAGGCACATCTCCACTCTGAGTTACATCGTCAGTCCACTAAATCGCCCAGACAGGCCTTGAACACACTCTAGCTCAGGCCAGGCCTTGACCTGTGATCTTATTGCCCCAGAATCCTGGGTTTATAGGTCTGCCCCAACAATAACACACACACACACACACACACACACACACACACACACACACACACACTGTTATTATTACTATTCTCTTCAGCTATTTCCTCCCTCAGATTTGGAGATATGGGTAAGATGATTTCTAAGCAAAGAAAGCAAGTGTCGCTGGGGTGGCCAGCAAAGACAGTCTTCTTCTCTGGAGTTTATCAGTAAACTCCGTTCAGTCGAGTCCAGGACCAGGGATTGCTCTCATGATGGCTTGTTTCCTCCCTCAGGCTCTTGAGTACAACATCTTTGAAGGCATGGAGTGTCGTGGCTCCCCACTGGTGGTCATCAGCCAGGGCAAGATTGTCCTGGAGGATGGCACGCTGCATGTCACTGAAGGCTCAGGACGCTACATTCCCCGGAAGCCCTTCCCTGACTTTGTGTACAAACGCATCAAGGCAAGGAGCAGGGTGAGTGGTTTTACAAACTTTTAAACATCACGGGTTGATTTAGACTCCACAGATATCCATTAGGCACCATGAGTCAGAATACTGAGATGGGGGAGACATGAGGATAAGGAAAACCTGACGTTTTCATCCTGAGGCTTAACCTGCTGCTGGATGAGTCAAGGGTGATCAGAGCTTTGATGCTGAGTGTGAGGTAAGGACCCAGAGGAGGGAAGCACTGCTCTAGAATCGTGGAGGAAGATGATATAGAAGATGACAGTTAGGCTTTGAAGGCTAAGTAGGAGTTTCTCAAGCCAAAGGATGGAGATAAAGATGCTAAAAGATGGAATATGATCTGTGGAAGATGTACAATGTGTTCAGGGCATGGTGAACAGCACATGGCTGGTGGTCAGGAACTGCAAGGTGAAGAAGGGGTGGAGCTTTAAGGGAATTAGAGAAGAGTGGTATTGGGAAGACAGTTTCATCTTGAAAATGACAGGAGACCCTCTTCACAGTATGATTGGGGCTTCTTGGAAGGTTCAAAGGTGCTGGGGAAAGTTATAAGAAACCAGTTAAGTAACTCATAGGGAGTCACCTTGGGAGAGCTTTTGGCTTGGAACTTTGGGGGCTGGTTGCACATCTGTCTCTTGTTGTACCTGTCCATAATGGGGCGCCATATCCCCACGTATCACAGGCCTGTCTTGGCTACTATTCCATCACACTGAGGGGGGTGCAGGAAAGATGTCCTTTGTGAATGTGACATAGGCTGTGGGGTGATTGTGTGTTTCAGCTGGCTGAGCTGAGAGGGGTCCCTCGTGGCCTGTATGATGGACCCGTATGCGAGGTGTCTGTGACACCCAAGACGGTCACTCCAGCCTCATCAGCTAAGACATCCCCTGCCAAGCAGCAGGCACCACCTGTTCGGAACCTGCACCAGTCTGGATTCAGCTTGTCTGGTAAGGCCTGTGGGGATGGGGAGTAGGGGAGCTTTTCCTGGAAGGTTCAACAAGCTCTGTGGAGCCAGCCTGAGGCTTTCAGCTCCACTACTGCAGAAACTGAAAGACTAAGCTGAGACGGATATCCAAAGTCCTGTAGCCTGTGCACAGCGTGCAGCATAGTTTGTTACAGACTTTCCTTTTCTTGTCCCATCTGCTGGAGTTTAGAAAGTACCATCTATGCCCACGATGAACGAGGAACACTTCAGAGTGTTTTGGGTAGGGAGACAGTCCCTTAAACTCTATTGTCCTAAAGTATGAGATTAGTCACAGTGTGTATTACCTTATCATTCACATAGCACAGGTTGCCAGTCCATTACGTAAAAGAAGTGATTTGGACTGAAAGCTAGTTTACCTCTTTAAAAATTGGAAAAATATATAGATAATGAACTATGTTGTGACTAAGACCCAAGTCCAAACACAAAGTGTGGGCAGGGACAGGTGGCTCAGCAGTTAAGAACGAACTCTGATCTTGTAGGGGACCCAAGTTTGTTCCCAGCCTGTTTACAACCACTTGAAACTCTAGCTCCAGTGGATCCAGCACCCTCTTCTGGCCTCCTCAGGCACTGCACTTTTGTATATAACCCCCTCTCACAGATACATATATACACATAATTAAAAATAAAAACAAAATCTTAAAAACAAACATGCAATATATCTATGTTTCATATAAATATAACACATTCTTGAAAGGGATTTGATACAGCGTTTTTAGTACATCAAGTTTGACCACAGTTAGTCACATCAGGTGAAGTGTGGAATCTTCCACTGGTTACATCCTGTCAAACCTCAAATAGTTGTAGAGTTTAGAGTGTTCTGAGTTTGGCAGCTTCAGATCCAGGTTCTTTACCTGAACCATCCATATTCCTCCTGAGAGGCATGGGTCAGAAAAGTCATATTCATTGGTACCTTGCATCGAATTTATACTTTCCCAGGGAGAGATTGTGTGACAGGCAGGTCCCCCTACTTCCAGTAGTTTGAACTTCCTGTAGTTAGTGAGGTTTGGAGAAAGGGGTGGGGATATGTGTTCTTTCTTGGCTCAGCTTTTCCCGAGTATTATTATTGGGCATACCGCAGGAGTCTGATTTTATTTCTAAAGACCCTCATGCTCGTTTTTGTTTTGTTTTTTTTTGTCTCTTCCCTCTTCTCTAGGTGCCCAGATTGACGACAACATTCCCCGCCGCACCACCCAGCGCATTGTGGCGCCCCCTGGTGGCCGCGCCAACATCACCAGCCTGGGCTAAAGCCCCTAGGCCTGCAGGCCACGTGGGGATGGGGGATGGGACACCTGAGGACATTCTGAGACTTCCTTCCTTCCATTTTTTTTTTTTTTTTTTTTAAAGAGCCTGTGATAGTTGCTGTGGGCAGCCAGTTCCTGGGGCTTCTTCTTGGGCCCCCTGCACTCGGTCTCCCCTGGAGTTTCTGAATTCACTCACCCAAGTCCCTACAGAGTCATAGTCATGAACAACACCACACCCAAGCCTAGCCACCCATCCCACACGGAGCTGCATCCAACATGCAGACATGCGCCACCAAACAGATCCCAGCAAGGGTGCCCCTATCACATCCTTGGCCGTGCAGTCAGCACCTTCCTGTCACGGGGAAGATTTAGTGAATTGCCCTGAGCTGCCTTCTTTTCTTTGTAAATTTTTTTTTTAAATTGCTTTTTGGGTTTTTTTTTTTTTTTTTGGGACTGGGGAGGGGGGGGGGGGTAGGTGGGAGAGATTTTTTTTTAAATACTAAATTGAAAGCCTAATTCAATATTAATCCTCGGGTCTTGAACTGGACATCCTAATGATGCAATTATGTAACCATTAAGCTGATTCTGAGGCTGGCAGGCTACGGCTGCCCCTCTGGAAAGTTTCCATGCGTCTGCATCTCCCATCCCTTACTCTTCCGGGTCAGCTGTTGAGAAGAGGCGGGTTTTCTTCATTGGCCTAGATTTTGCGGCAGATTAGACTTTTTGAAGGTTCTCTACCATTTTCCTGTGTTTCCTGTCCTGGCTTTTTCTTCTGCACTCAAGGAGTGATTTAGAGGTTGGTCTCCTGGTTTGTGTTTCTTCAAGACAATGTACTTTCCCTCCTGGCTTTCTGTCTGCTCTTAAAGCCAGACAACCCAGTTTGGCCTCAGACATAGCCAGAGCAGACCCCAGTTTTGCCCCCACAACCATAGTTTTGTGCTGTCCTGGTTTCTGTTAAGATTGGTGCTATCTGATTCCCATTACTAGGAGGTGGCTGAGCTTGAGGCTTGTCAGACAGGGATGGCCCAGATTATGTCACCAGTATTGTCACTTGTGGACCCAGAATAGAGTCACATGTGGTGGAAAGGTGAGGAATTAGGCTGTAGGAGTGACAGCCTCCAGTCAAATCTATAAACCCAGCCCCCAAGCTCACATGAGCCTACCAAGCTGGGACCAGTCTCCCTGTGGAGGAGCCAGCCAAGATGGGGCCATTCTCTGTACGAAGGAGCCCTTCCCAGCCTTCGCCAGGAAGTGTCTTTGGGGATTCTAGAACGTTGGGACTTCTCATTGTGTGTGTGTGGTGGGGGGGAACCTTTTTTTTTCTCCTGTACAGTTATTTCAAAAGGTCTAATATGGTGGGGGAAGGTATAAATCTTTGGGATAATTAGACTGCAAGTCTTTTACAAGAGGGACAACCCTATTTTAGGAAACAATATCTCGTGGGAAGAAAACTGCACAGATGAACGCATGGCCCACTTAGAGACCATGTCACCTCATATCTGTCACCCTTCCTCTTCCTGGCATAGTGACAGGTTTTCACTAGCTGGCTTCTTTCTGTATTAGCTGACTTCTGTCATATCTCTTTCCAGATGTGTTTACAGGTCCCTGTAAGCAGTGTTAGGTCCGTAGGCTTTTATGACTCCAGTCTGCTTGTGTAAAGCAGAGCATCAAAAATTGGTGATACTCTGAGTGTCCACACATTCTGTCTTTGGGGTTAAGGGTCGGGATTTTGGGTTTGTTGTTAATTTTTGTTGTTTTAAAGGTAAATTGCACTTTTAAAAATTGGTTGACTTAATATATTTACTTTTTTTTCCTTATCTGCACTTAGACAGGAAATTTGAACATTGGAAAACACTTTTTTTTTTGTTTGTTTGTTTGGATTCTGAGAAACTTGCAGCTCTTCAGTATTCACTCCTGATGTTTGTTGTAAGGGGCCATGGCCCTTTTGGTTGTTTTCAATCATTTTCTTAAAAAAAAAAAAACCAAACACAACAGTTTTAAACCTGAAGATATCCGCAGTCCGTGTAAGCATGTTTACCTGTTGGCTCGCTTTCTGTGTCTGTTAAATGAATGTCATATGTAAATGCTAAACTAAGACAACAGTGTCTCAGAACTGAATAACTGCAGTGACTTGATGCTCTAAATCATTGTAGGATTTACTGCTAGATGGTTTTGAACCCTTGAACTTGTGATTGTGACCCATGAGGGGGGACCTTTCAGTGCTAAAGCTGATCACGTGTGTAGCCAGAAAGGTACTTTTTTTTTAATTTTTGTTTTATTCTTTTGTAACCACTGTCTTAATGGCAAAATAATTATGGTAAAATACAAGTCTCGTGTTTATTATTCCTTAAGAGGTCTGTGTTATATTACCACGGAACACCCAATAAAGCAGAATGTGGTTGTTTCAGAGGTGTGTCTGTAATGAGACTCCCTTGGTGTGTCGGCTTTCCCTTTGAAGTGATGCCTGGAGAAGCCCTGGCTTGGCTTAGCCTTGGACTGTGGTCCAGCCCAGGAATGCTCACCCCCATGGCATAGGTTCCTATGGATATCCTGGCTACAGGATGCAGTCTCAGCCCATGTAATGCCATACCTGGGGGATGAGGGCCATGGAGGTTGAGAATCAGTGTCTTAAAACCCCATCCTGGAGTGGCAGTGTGCCTCCCAAAGTGCCAAGCCAAATTTGAACCTGTGGTTCGAGTGGGGCTGCAGAACTCAAGGTGGGGTTTCAGTGGAGATGCTGGGCTTGCTTCTCACATGTTTACCCTGGGAAATCTTCTCACTACATGGGTGCAGGAGAGAAAAGAGATTGCTTAGCATGTCCTGACACCTCAGTGGAGGTGCTGCCAAAACCAGGACCAAGGCCTAGGCTTCCACCCTCAGCTCAGGACGGAGGATGCTGATGCGGGTGAGAGTCATGCTGGGTTTCTGGCTCTCGGTTTGCAGTTCCTTGCTTTGGGTGGCATTGGTTCTGAATGAAGAAGGTGTGTGCTTTGGGTGCCCTGTGTCGATCATATGTTAGGGCCGGTTTACCCCCCACCTCACAACATCTTATCATTTTCATCACTATTTATTATTTATTGTATGTGAGGTAACACGCAGAATTACACAGGCCCAGCTTGGTGGTTCACAATGCGAAGCACTCAGGAGGCTGAGGAGAGACTGGGTGACATAATGAGACCATTCGGGGGGGAAAAACAGTGAAAAGAAAAAAATGATGTCATCATTAAAGCAAGGAGACAGGGAAAGGGAGAGCAGGAGGCCACAAGGCTTAGACCAAGAGATAGCTGCTTGGATCCTTCACACGCTCAGAATGACTTACTATGGCCGGCTGCAACATTCATCCTGGTTAACGATGAAATAAAAGAGATGTTGGATCCAGACAGAAAAGCCTGACTTCTTCTGGGAGCCATAATGTAGAGTGTAGGGATGGATGGCTTTGTGGTCAAAGTCAAACTTATGTAGAAAAGGGGAGCGTGCACTCTTCAACCATGAGGAACCTGTGTGAGAACACCAAAGACCTCAGATCCATCCCATCATCCCCCGGACTCCTTCCACACCAAGAAGGGCCTGTGCACCCTGTAGTTTACAACGCCAAGGTCCACTCAACCCCTTGGAGGTTGTTTTTGTTGCAGGATAGACCCCAGAGAGGCCACACTGGGAGGTGGATCTTCTTGAGCAGACACTTAAAGTGATCCAGGTAACCTAGCTTGAAGTCTATGCTCTGGCTGGTAGTGTCTTATCAACTGTCAGCCACTCCTCTTAAATGACAAGAGGAAAGCTGGAGGAGGCAGAGGAGGTATGGTCCACCATACCTGAAGGTGGACCAGGTAGCTGGTGGCATGCTTAAGGCCAGCTAGCTGTGTCACTGTTGGTATGTTTTAGTCTACACACATGCATGCAAGCCCAAGGAAACCGGAAGGGAAAAGCTAGGAAATGTCTGGGGCATGCCTTGCTTGGAGGATGTGCAGAAGCCTCACACTGCTCTGAGCAGAAGGCTCCATCCCCAGGCAAGGTTCTGTAGCATACATTCTGTCAGCAGAGCAAAGCTGTCTCTTCTCCCGTCAGCTGGATGGGGATCCGCTCCATGAAGCTACTGAGCAGGCGTGTATTGAGAAAACCTAGCACTCAGGATGGGATCTGGCAGTGGTCTCCTGGTTTACTCCTCAGCTTTCTGTGTCCTTTGGTGAGTGACAAGCCAGGAAAGGAGCATGGATGGAGCAGAAAAGGGCAAAGGGAACCAGAAAACTGCCAGCAACAGTGTCCCCCATGTCTCTCCTAAGAACTAAGCATCAAGAAATGATTGATAATCACCCAAGGTCTTTGGTAGTTTGCAAAGACTGTTGGAGATGTAGGAGATTGTCGTAGATTGCATCCATTGTTTCCAAACAATCTGTTGGTTAAAGTCACATGACTGACAGCTAACATTCACTGTGACACACCAGGCACTGTGCTATGTAAGACCTTTGTGCCCATTAACTGAGCTAAACTTTGCAAAACGTCGTGAAGAATTTGCCATTGTGCTGGTTAATAGATAAGGAGGAACAGCTCAGAGTCAAGGTCAAGTCAGTGTGTGTGTGTGTGTGTATTGTAGCTATTACTAATAATATATTTATACAATGTATTATCACATATAATTATTAATAATATAACATATTATACATTTATGATTTAACATTGCAAAAATGCCCAAGAAGGCCAGAAGAAGGTATCAGATCCCCTGGAGCTGTAGTTACAGTTGATTGTGAGCCACCATGCAGGAGGTGATGGAACTGAACTTGAGTCCTCTGCAAAAGCAGCAAATTCTCCTAACCACTTAACCACTGATCCATTGCTCCGTTCTTCAAATATATTTGCTTTTTGGAAGCACTATTTCCCTAGGTATCTCAGCCTAGCCTTGAACTCATGATTCTTCTTCCTCAGTTTCCTAAATGCTGAAATTACAGGCACATGCCATCTCACCCAATCCAGAAAATCTGTGGAGAAAAGAAAAATGAAAAAGGCAAACTGGATTTTCTACACGTAAAGCCTGATACATGACCAAATAAGAGAGATAGCAATATAAATAAAGTAGTCCATGGAAAGGAAAGAAGAATCTAGAATGGATCTGTAGTAGATGTAGAAAACACCCCCTTCTCTGGCTAACTGTCTGAGAAGCACTTAAGGAGGGAGAGGCTGCATTACTGAATGCACAGAGCAAGCAGTAGGTGTATCTCCAACCGCTGTTATCTACAGTCTCTTATGAGAATGTTCCTGTTTGGAAGGGTGGAGAGCACCAGGGAAGCAGACTGCAGGTCATCCAGCATGAGGAAAACATGGGCAAGCAGAGAGTGTGTAGGATGGCCATGCCATACATATTCACACATATGTAAACGCTAGTCAGGAGACCAGACAGTGTGTACTACACACAAAAATC